CCCAAACCCCTTTTCTTCCCCCACATCTCATCCATACTCACACAAACCACTGCCCTCCCCCCCGTCCCCCCCAGCATCCCATCCGTACTCATCCACTGGGTCATCTCTGGTTGGGTCTCTCCTGTCGCACCCCTCGCAGGGGGACATCTGGGGGACAGGGCGGAGGATGAGCAGCTTCTGGAGGATGTAGGGAGGCTGCTGGCTGGTGATTTGCCTCTGAGAGGTGGGTGAAAGGATTTGGGGTGTTGAGGGTGGCAGGACACCTCACTGCAGGGCTGTCTGGGGCCGGGGCAGGGTGGGAAGGAGGGTGGGTGGGCGCTCAGAGGCTGGTGAGGGTCACAGGAGGAAAGAGGGTGAGCCATGAGGGCACAGGGATGTCACCCGGAGCTATCTCCTCCATCCTGCAATAAACTGCTGATAAAAGCTTTTAAAAGTAGATTATGGGGTGTTCATCCTGCAACCACCATCCTCCAGCCCGGCAGGACCACTCCAGCAGAGGTGAGCATCCAGGAGCGGGATGCTGAGCGGGGTCCTCGCTCCCTTCCCTCCCATACTCATCCACTGGCCAAACTGGGGCAACACTGGTAGGAAACCGGCCTGCTGTGGGGCTGGCGTTGGTGTTCACCCCCAGTGTGGGAGCACCGAGGCATCTGCAAAGATGCAAGGACATCCACCACGGAGCAAACCAGACCCTCTTCGGAAAAGGCCCCGAGGAAGATGAAGGTAGAGCAGGGGAGGAGCCGGATTTCCCCCGGGGAGAGCTCCCACTACGCGTATCCCAACCACCTCTCCCCGTCTTCACACTTGTGCTGACGCAGCCACCGCTGAGGCATGGCTGCCAACCGGATTGGGGTTAAAAATAGTGCCGTGCAAGGGAGAAGGGGACTATTTTGAATCTAGAGCAGTTCATTGCGGGGTGGGGGCTCACGGCACGGCTGCAGCGGGATGTGCTGGTGTGCCGGGTCAGCTGGGGATTTTCTCCAGGGGTGTCAGGACCTGCTTCGCGAAGCATTTGTGGGGGCTGTCGCTGCCCCTCTTGGGTGTGATGCTCTCACTGGTGTTGCTTCCTGACCCCCGCTGTGGGTTGATATCTCTGGTGCCCATCATCCTGGCTGGAGGTGGATGGTCCGTCAACCCCCCTGTGCTGTGGAACACGTCCTGAAGGTCTTCAGAGCCCATCCAGAAGGGTTCTGGGGCACCGAAGCAGTGGGGGACGCAGAGCAGGGGGTGACTGTGGAGGCTCAAGCCTAATTCTGCCCACTCGCATCCACGGGGCAGATGAAAAATGCCGCTTTGACCATTTCTACGGGGACCCCGACTCCATCTGTGACCCCACCAAGGCACAACCCCTCCAGCGGGTGAGGGCTGTAACGCTGCCCGTGACCGTACCACGAGGTGGGGGGGGACACTGCGATGCTCTTTTCCCTTCATTTTTTCACCTGGGCTAAGAGATAATTTGGGGTTGGGGTGATGGTGGGGGGGAGGATGTGTGTGAAAGCTTCTTTATTCTGGGGCTATCCTGCGCAGAGGGTGCCAGACGCCTTCCCTCAGTTTAGGTGACACCATCAGCGTGTGACAGCCCGGGCTGCGTGGGCGCGAGCGTGTCACCGTCACGGGTGGGCACGTCCCACCCCACCGCCTGGCTGGTGACGAGCTCCGCAGAAGGGTTAATGCCTCAGGAAGGGCTGAGCCATCCTGTCGGGATGCTTTAACCCTTTCCGGGAGAACCCCTTTCCAGCCCCTCCTGGACATGGAGGGGGTGGGAGGATGCAGATCTCCATCCCTGACCCCTTTTTGTGCCTTTGGGCACCGGCTGCTAATTAGCGCCCTCCTGAAAAGGAGCAAATCTCAGAGTAATCCGGCATTGGTAGGGAGCTCATCACAGCGAGATTCCCTGTAGATACGTTAGGCGGGGAAATCTATTACTTTCTAATTAAACGAAGGCAGAAATGATTGTTCTTTTGCTATTCCTTACATGTTTCTAAGCGTGAAACTCAATTATAAGTGTATCCGCAGAAGGGGATTTGTCTACAAGGGGAAGTCTCTGCTGGGCACGGGGTTTTAACAGCTGGAGAGAACACCTGGGCCGCTGCGGAGCAGCCTCAAATTCTCAGGATTTGGGGGATTCGGGTGGGCACCCCCCCACCCGCCGCTTCTTTTCCTTGCCGCCCTGCTTTGTCTGCCTCCCCCACGCTCCCCGCGGCAGGAGAAGGATGCAAAGGCCCGACTCAAAATAGAAAGCCGGTCCTCTGGAGGATGGAGAAAGGAGCGTTTGCTGGGGGGCGGCTCTGCCGGGATGCGGAGGCTGCGTTCGGTGGGGTTTCAGTGGGACCACCCGTGGGTGCTGGTGAGCGGGTGACCGTCCCCACACGAAGGGCGGGACGCCTCCTCTCAAGCAGGGGCGCCAGGAGGGCATGTGGCTTCGTAGCTCCAGATAAGAAAAAGCAATCAAAGGCAGCCTTAAATCTTCGCCGTGTAATTGTGGGTTTAAATCATCAGCGGGACGAGATGGGAGTGCTCCCGGCTGGGCTGGGGAGGGGGGGGGGGAATCCATCCGGCGCCTTCTTAGCCCCCCCGTTCTTGGGATCAGGAGCATTTGGGGACCAGGGTGACACTAACCCCTGCCCAGGTGGCCCCATCCTGCCCCCGGCATCCCCGGCACAGCTCTGTGGAGCGGCACGGTGCTGGGAATATAGTCGCGTACATCCATACGGGGTGTGTATAGGAGACAAGCCTCGGGTGTACGTGTGCATGGAGAAAGAACATGCGTATACATGGGGAGCGGGGGTATTTAGCGTGTATTTGTACATATATTGAGCACACATATTGTGTGCGATTAGATATATAGCGGTTATACAAATTGTATGTATATATTGTATGTATTCTTACTGCGTATGTACGTATATAGTGTTTGAGTATTGCTGTGTGTGCGTAGAGAGTCTGTGTATGTGCCGGGGGAATATATTGTTTGTGTTTTTCTATATAGTGAGTTTATAAAGTGTGCCTACAAGGTATATAATACATTTGGTTTAGTACATTTCCATGGATGTGCTGCATTTACGTGTATTTATATTGTGTGTCCAGACTGAGTACATAAAAAATGTGTCTGTAGCAATTACTTGTGCGTATACGTAGTGTCTGTATATATATTTAAAAAGTCCATACGGCATAGATGTGTATGCATAGTGCGTTTCTATCTATCTATATATAGTATGAGTGTGAATTATATATAATATGCGTATACAGAACTACAGAAATATAGCATTTATACTGTGTGCACGGTGTGAGGGTAGAAAGAAATATCTATGTATTTATAGCGTGCGTGTGGGTGCTGCGCCTGTAGCTGCGGTGCTGTGTCTCCGCGCCGTCTCCCACCTCTTTGGGGCCCCTTCGGCCGTGCCGGGCTGTACCGGGGGCTGTACCGGGGGCTGTACCGGGCAGAGCCGGGGGGGGGGACGACGACGACACGGGGAGGGGGACAGGATCGGGCTCAACCTCCCCCTCGCCCCCATCAAACACGGACCCGGCTCCACTTTCAATCCCTTTTATTGACTCTTCCACAGACAGAAAGCTCGCA